ACGCAGGTGTGGTGACACACGCAGGTGTGGTGACACACGCAGGTGTGGTGACACACGCAGGTGTGGTGACGCGTGCAGGTGTGGTAGCATTTCCAGATGCGGTGATATATGTACCATTAGTACCATAGTACCATAGTACCATTAGTACTATGTACCCATAGTATTCGTGTCCAGGAGTAATAACGTTTCCCGGTGTGTGTGTGTGCGTGCGTGCGTGCGTGCGTGAGTGCGTGCGTGCGTGCGTGCGTGAGTGCGTGCGTGCGTGCGTGCGTGCTTGCATGTGTGCATACGTGTAGGTCGGCTGTGGAAGTATGTGTGCGTGAGCTGGATTCAGACAACTTTACACGTGTTTCATGTTCTCACAGGTCATCGTACAGGACATGTTTACGGGCAAGCAGGTAGAAGCACAAGTCAACCCTGTTTGGGAAGACTGGGAGACTATTTCTGATACTCGATTTGAGGTATACTATAACACACATAGTTTGCACCCTCATGTAGCATAAGTTAGCTAGGGTGTGGCTTCAATGCTTATTGCTAGGCCCGATGACTGCTAAGGCCATCCTTAAAAAATTATATGTTTGCTGTCCTTCGACCGACTCACGAAAATAGCCGCGACCCAAAAGTTTTGTTAGACATTTTGGGTTCCATTTTTTATTTATTTTTATTTTTACATTCCTCATAGTTAAGACTGAAACACAAAGCATGTGTGGCAAACATGAGGACAGACTTAAAATAACTATTGTGCCTCACAAAAAAAACCTACCTACCTACCCACTAAAAAATCATGGGTCGGGGACAGCAAACATAGAATTTTTTAAGGATGGCTTAAGCCTGCTTTACATGTCATCAGTCCTTCACTAGTCACACTACCAGAGAACAGACCACAGATCCATTTTAGTACAAACCACGCCACGTTATTATTTAAAAAAAATGCCTACGATCTTTGGCCTGGTGTATGACCCTTTCTATTGTGATTGTCGCATACATACAGTGATCGAAATAGATTTATTTGTAGAATCGTAAGCGGAGTTTTTACATTGTGACATTAATGAAAATACCTTATAAGAAGAATAACAAGTCTCCATCATCTTCAGACATTTCCACAGACGCCACCACAGGATTCCTAGCGAAACCAAAACCAGACTCCATTGAAAGTATAATTAGAAGACGGCATGTCGTATAATATTGTTCTACTGCTACATATACTCAAGCCTCCCCCCTCCTCATTAAGATTCCCCACAAGCCTTCCCCCTTCTTCATTAAGAATCCCCACAAGCCATGCTCATGCGTTCTCTCTCGCGCACGTTCGTGTGTTTCAGCTGGTGTTTGTGGCGAGGTTGCCGGCTATCGGGCTGAGGACGTACAACGTCACGGCCGTGTCAAAGGTCGTTGCCACGACGCGGCTGGGGAAGGTGGCGCTGTTCAACAGTCGCTCCTTTAACAAGCAAACCAAGTGAGCATGCATCCGGTGATGATGGCAATTATGCATATGTTTGCAGTTTATGTGTGCGCGCGCGTGCGTGCGTGTGTGTCCATGCGTGTGTGCGTGTGTGTGCATGCACGTGCGCGCGTGTGTGTGTGCGTGCGTGCATGAGGGTGTGTGTGTGTGGTGTATATGAATACAAAGTAGGTCTACTCTCAAGTACTCAATTACACATTACGGGCTAGTTAACGATCTTTAGAGAAATTTTAATCTTAAAAACCCTATCAGAACGAAGACGAAGATTATTTCATGCTGTTTGCTGTGTAACTGTTGTGGCATTCATCTCTCTGTAATACGCACGCATATGGTTGGTCATCGTACTCATAAATTATTATTTTTACCACGATAAAAATAATTCAGTCGCGTTTAAACTATGTGTAGCACAACCTCTGATATTATGTAACAGGCTAATAATTTTACCGCGGTTAAATTATTTCGACTGCTGTTGAAATAATTATTTCGGAGTACGACGGCCAACCACACGCAATCGCGCGCGTTGATTGATTACAGGTCAGTGTTCAGCGTCGTGATACCGCCCTCACCTGAGCTATTGTTCAGTATTGAGAATGCCTACATGAGAGCACTGTTCTCTCCACGCAGCGGCTTACTGCAGGTAAGATCTGTAGCTCACTGCAGGTAAGATCTGTCTTAGCTGCACTCGTCAGGTAAATCTTAAGCTGCACTGGCAGGTAAGATCTGTAGCTCAGCTGGCCAGGTAAGATCTGTAACCGCTCACTGTCAGGTAAGATGCCTTAGCTCACTGGCAGGTAAGAATCTGTATGCTCATCTGCAGGTAAGCTCTGTAGCTCACTGCAAGGTAAGATCTGTAAGCTCACTGCAGGTAGAGATCTGTAGCTGTCACTGCAGTAAGATCTGTCCTCAGCTGCAGGTAAAGATCTGTAGCTCACTTGCAGGTAAGATCTTTACCACTTGCCTGCAGGGTAAGATCTGTACTTACTGGCAGGTAAGATCTGTCGCTCAGCTGCAGAGTTAGTATCGTAGCTCACATTGCAGGTAAGACTGTAGCTCACTGCAGGTAAGATCTGTAGCTCACTGCAGGTAAGATCTGTAGCTCACTGCAGGTAAGATCTGTAGCTCACTGCAGGTAAGATCTGTAGCTTACTGCAGGTAAGATCTGTAGCTCACTGCAGGTAAGATCTGTAGCTTCCCTGCCAGTAGATTGTAGCTCAACTGCAGGTAAGTCTGTAGCTTACTGCAGGTAAAGAATCTGTAGCCTCACTGGGCAGTAAGATCTGCGTACTCACTGGCAGGTAAGATCTGTAGCTCATGCAGTAAGACTGTAGCTCACTGCAGGTAAGATCTTGTAGCTCAACTGGCAGGTAAGATCTGTGCTTAGCTGGCAGGTAAAGTATCATAATTCTACAGCAGTCGCAAAATTTGACATTTGACACTTATTGTATGTCGTAACTGCTCAGCAAAATGTTTTCGATATTTTTGATAACGGCCTTTAACTTCTATAGATTCGTGACCTCCATCAAACCCCGTCCAAGCTTTGGAAGGCTCATTTCACATAAAAAACAATTCTTACATGTTTAAATCTCGTGTATTCATGCCTGCATTCTGGCGTGGTCACCTTGTCACACGATTTACCAAGTGTTTACAGTACATG